GCATTCCAAGTAATATCAATCAAACTGCAGTTGGGTTGTTTTGATTAAGATAATAACTTAAACAAATACAGGTAATTTACAAAATTAAAGTTCATTGAAAGTATGTTTTTTTTACATATTAAAAATTAGTTTTATAGCAAAAGCAGATAACTCCAACAGTCGTTTTTTGGCAAAAGAAGATAACTCCACATTTCATGTTTTAGAGTTAAAAAAAACACTTGTTTAATCTTTGTAATCTCCTCAGATGACAATGTAGATGCATGACAAACGTTGCTGTTGTTGTGTTCATAAACTGTATGGATGTGATTACACACAATACGCGGAGCTTATCCCTCACCATTGTAACGTGCTGCTTTTGCAAGGTTCCGTGAAAACGTTTCAGCTTTTATTTTCCTTTTTCGCCCTGAAGAAGATATCACAGGTTCATCAAGTTCGTCGAAATGATCCATCCTCGATCACTTTTAGTCAGCTTTGACCAAACTCCTCTCAGCTAGCACGTCTTTTCAAAGTGAAAGTAGCCTTGTCCGACCTGAATACAGCGCACTGATTCGCTAAAATGGACTTGTCGGCTTCTGTTCAAAAACAACAAGGGCGCTTGTTGGCTTCTGCCGTAAAACGTGAACTCGTAATGCCTTGAAAGTGGACAAAACCGGCTTTTTTGAAAAAACGTGTTTAGGGTTCAGATATATGTGGAGAATAATGCACGGCAACCAGCTCATTTTTTGAAAAAACGTGTTTAGGGTTCAGATATATGTGGAGAATAATGCACGGCAATCAGCTCATTTTTTTTAAAGTGGCATTTATCGGTTTTTGCAAATGAACTCTTCATATTTATATTTATATTGTTACAGAACCATTTTTTATATTGTATTTTTTCAGTATTTCTGTTTAAATGTTTCCGTATTAAATATAGCAAAACAATTAATGTTACGGTATTGTAGATGTTTTTATTTATTAATGACATAATGTTAAGTATTATATTTATTAATAATGTTATATGTAAATTATAATAAATATAAAACGTACTGGTGTACACTTTCCCTCCAGCTTCTGGCCTTGCTTTGCCATTAATACAGTGATTTAATTTGACTGTTAGTTCAGTCGCATAAAGACTAGCCTTTTATACGTGCGCAGCCATAAATGCAAATGGGCCACGAACATTTTAGCAGTTTGCGCTCATCTCATTAATAGGCTTGTTAATTAATTTTGCAAATACCTTGCAGGGAAAACTTTTTCATATTCAAGGCTGTCTATTGGCACAGGGCCTTTTCATGCAGGCTCCATAATAGGCATATATTGAAAGGAAAATTGATGATTCAAAAACTTGCAGGCACTTCAATTGGAAGCGTCCAATTAAAATAAAATTTTATGCAACAAAGGCCTGATGAGAAAGACTCAGCATCAAAGCAGAGCTCCTTGTACTGTACGTCAGAGTTAATTTCGGACTGAGAGCCATACAGACATGCTCAATAATAGCTCGATATATTTTGTTTATCTGCTTGGGATATTGTTTTGACTGTTGAATGAGACAAACTAATCACTTTAAAAGCCTCCCTGGCCGCTCATTGGTTTCAAATCACTCAGAAATATTACAGCCTTATAATGAATTTGGCTTGATTTGAATCGATAAAAAAGAGCTTGATTTCAGCCTTTTAACAAACAGGAAGGTTTTGCAAGGCCTCATTGTCAAGTGAGTGTAGTTTGAGGAAGGCCTGTTTGAGGAATTGTTCCTGTCACAGATGATTAATTTGGGAATGTGTAGCATATTTACTGCAATAAAGCTCAGAAAAACTGATGACGGAAAACAAAAGAAGGGCTTGCCAGATAACAAGGCAACAGTCCACTCATGTGACTCTTGGGTACCCATACTGCCAAGGCTTGAGGGCCTTCTGTTCACTCTGCTTCATCCAGTTTAAAATCAGCTATTCCTTCCAAAATGAGTGAGAAATGGACAGAAATTTTAACAATGTGTGAAATTTAAACACTTAACTTAAAATGTTTAAAGCAACATTTTTTTATGAAATTTTGATACATTTTATTAAAAACTTTATTAATTTTACCTGATATTTTGTTTCTACTGAAATAGTTTAATAAGAATTTCTTTGCCTAATTCGTGCGACTTATGCGATTATGTTAAAGGGGTCATATGATGTTGCTAAAAAGAACATTATTTTGTGTATTTGGTGTAAGGCAACTCTAGGCATGACAAAGCGGATATCGTCCTCTTTTGGAAGGCCAAACAAAGTAGTTTCGCTTTCACAATGAAACAAAAAGCATATCCACAATATGGCGGCGGCGGCAACAATACTACAGCGAGAATAAAAGTTACGCCTTCTTTCTTTGTGTGAACATTTGGGTGGCGTTATGCAAATCTTCCCACACAGTGACGTAGACATGTGGGGGCGTGTTTAAACGAGGCGTTTTAGGAGGGCATGGACAAGTCTTAACTTTTATAAAGAATATCTCTTTGGATTTGAGACTTTAGTCTTTGCAACTTTACAGATCTCCTTTATGCACCAAGAGCTTGTAACACTCCAAAGAGAAAGGAAAAATTTAAATCGCATCATATGACCCCTTTAAGGCTTTAAATTTTATACTCCACATGGTTCCTTGTTCACTTCTGTATTTATTTATTTATTTGTATTTTGTAATACTAATTATATACTAATAATTTAAATACAAAAAAATTGTATATAATCTTTGAATGAATTGAATGGAGGACTTGAAAGAAAATGCACGTGTGTGTGTTTGGAGCACCCCTCAGTGGACCACTCTCATCCTCCTACACACACCCTCCACTAACACATCAAGCCTGCGTTTGTGTTACAGAGAGAGAGAGACCCATGCAGAGAGGGAGGGAGACGGCGCAAGATGCAGCCAGCTCATTGTTTCGCTTTCACCGTAAATAACGTCATAACTGTGAGATCGTTAGTGAGTTTACGTTTTGCTTTCCCTTCCTGTCTCCTTCCCCCTTGACTTTTAGATTTTTTTTCTTCAAATGTCAGAAAGAGGATGGGCTGCCAGTCCATTTGTTAACAGTTTCATATATTTTTCCCTACGAGACAATTTTCTGCAATGATATTCTCATCCTGACAATAGCGAGAGGAAAGCGCTATTATTGCCTCGCTCCATTGACTCAATCACGGCCCTGCTGAACAGCTCGCCATCTTGTCATTACTGTTTCTTTATTTATTTTTGACTCAATTACACTCTCACAGTGCCGTCCCACTTATATCGGTGACGAAAAACACACACACACACTTATTGCTTGATTGAATTAAATATGATATTACTAAAGCACAACCTGCAATATTTAGCAAGGAAGGACGCACATGTTTCTCTTAAGAATTTTTTGGCCAGGAGAAGCCTGAGCGCTCGTTTGCATTCATTAAAGGCCCTCCCTATCAGGTCGCCTTTGGTCGGCCATTATTTTCTCCACAATAATGGAAACGTATATGGAGACGAAGGGAGTTTGGCACTAGATTGGGGTGAGGGGGATGCCGGGTGGTCTCAGCATGCGCAAAATATATTAATTCACCTCTTGTCATTTTTGCTTGGATAATTCTAATGTTGTCATGGTAATTTGGAGCCAGGAGGCAGCAGGTCACTTTCCAAACAGAGAGCATGTGCGGTGAGACTGAATCCTTGCGAGGGGCTGATAAGACGTCGTGTGCAGCCTTCAGCCTCATGATGAATCACCCGCTTATCTGTGCAGACCCAAAGAGCCGGCTACCACCGCACGAGACTGACAGAGAGAGGGAGGGAGGGAGGGAGAGAGAGAGAGATTTGTCATTATCAGCAAATAAGGGATAAAATGCTTGCACACAATAACAGCCATGTTCCCTATGCAAACCTGCTTGAATACCTGAATGGTGGCGCTATCAGCGCATGACGACTGGCTTCGGAAACATTTTTATCATCTCTTCAATTTTCTCACTATTGTGTGAACATATTCGATACGGTTTGTTCTGGAAGACACGTGAGGCCCGTTATGGGAAAACTGATTTTGTTTAGGTGACTCAATCAGGGATGGTTTATAGGGGAGACCGGGGTTAGTTATCACAAAGACTTGTTGTATCTCAGGGGTTACTTCAAGGAAATGTAAGTCAAAGAGGTTCGCCTGACATAGTTCGGGATCCCTCCCCAGGCAATAACAGTGGAAGTATTCAAAAATAGTGGAAGTGGAAGCTTTTTGTAGCCAAGGCTATACAGACGTTCAAAACAAACTTCCCTGAGAAATATTCACTGGGGTAAAAAAAAGTGTGACAGCTAGCCCGGGTCTCTTCTACCCTCAGAGAAAGTTTTGTATCAGCGTGTTAGTGTATCACTGAGGGATTTTATTAATACGTAAATACAGGATCTCTGTGTGTTCTTGCTTATTAGAACACGGTCACCCACCGTGTGTGAGGTAGGAGGGGATTAAACTCGCACACACACATACTGTTTGTCAGCTGCACGTGGACTTCCTACTAAACGGATGCTTACTGCCTCTGGGCAGCTTCCCCCATCTCACTCCACTCTCTCTCTCCTCTGTGTGCGTGTGCGCTGAACCAGTAGTGAATAGCCTGTGATAACTGCTGATGAGGTGTCATAATCCTGAAAACAGGATCCTTTATTTTTCACACATATTGTCGATCAACTTCTCCACTTTTCAGGCCATTTTACATGGCGTGGAAAGGTTGCCAGGGTACCAGTGGTGGAGAAGCTACTTTAAAACTGTAGCTCACCAAGTTACAAGCTACTCGTGATTTAAAACAGTTAAACAACTGTCAAGCTGCTCTTTTGAAAAAGTAGTTAGCTACACTAGAATCTAATAATAAAAAGCAAAACTACATTGAAGCCATTTAAGTGGGCACTATTGTTTTAATATAAATCACATTTTATTTATATAGTTAATCTTTAACAATACTAATAATTTAATAACATTATTAAATGTGACCTTTAGCAAATCTTAAAATGTTACATATTATTTTTCACTGTACAATGTACAATGTGAGGAATAACATTTACTTGTAGCAATTAAAACTATAGCTTTTTTAAATTATAGCTTTTAGCTTGTTTGTATTTAAAGTAGATAAAATACTAAAGAATTTTAAAATGAAATATTTTATCATTTTTTTCTTTTTCTTTCTTTCTTTCTTTCTTTCTTTCTTTCTTTCTTTCTTTCTTTCTTTCACCATCTGGTTTTCCCTGAAGTACCATTTAAATTCTCTTGAGAATTCATCTAGAAACATGAGTTCTCATGTAATCTCACGGCTTTTCATTGAAGTTTGTAAATTAATCACTGTCTAAAATCGCACCGCATGGTTTCCGAGCTCCAATTAGAAAGCCTGTACGCCTTTCTTTTATTTAGCACATCACTAGCTCTCTGTCTACAAGCTGTAGTCCTTCTATTTGTTCATTAGTGTAAGATTTTTATGCATTAGGAAAATGGAAGAAATGTAAATGGCAACGTAATAGATATTCATGAACATCAGGAAACCATGCATATGCATGAACTAACGAATGCATATTCAATTCTAAGTTAGTAAGACTGATTCAGCTCGATTCTTGAAAGTAATAAGAGTAGGAGAGAAAGATGGAGGGACAGACAATGGAAGGAGGGAAGCGCTAGACTAAAATGTGCTCAATACAATATATAAGTTTGGTGACTTAATTGTTTAAGTATTGAAAGAGGTTTGTGATTTTTCTGTGGTTTGGGCTCGTTCTTGCCTTGGGTCATGCATCAACAATTCCTTCTAACCTTATGTTCTTATGTAACATCCTTCAGAGTCCTTTTTTGGTGTGAACAGAGCAGTATGGCTTAGGGCTGTGTATCACCAGCAAAGTCATGATACGATACATATCACGATACAGAGGTCACGATACGATACGTATCACGATACATGACTGCACTGAATTTCACCTCAGCAGAGTTTAGAAAAACAGCTGTTTATTAAACACTGCTTACTATAGTGCCATTTCTAACTATTGGCAGAGCAGGCAGCTGACCTCTGCATTATGAAGGGCCTCCATAACTGTACCACAGTACAATATAGGTAATGGCATGTGTTTCATGTTTACATTGTGCACTCCCCACCAGGTACAATATTCTGATTGTTTGCATCTTATTTTTAAGACCATAAATAATGATGTACTTGTTCTAATACATTTATATTGTAATGTACTCATTCTAATATTTAAAAAATAATTTACATTGATGGTAGGTTATCGTTGCACAAATTAAAACACTCTCAACAATTAAAAAAAAAAATTAGAAGAGTTCTAAACTAACGCGCTGTCTTCACTCTATCTAACGCACACACTCTCAAGGCTGATTTAAGGCTGATTTATACTCGACGCGTCCGCAAGTTCGCTTTGAGTGCGCGCG